TACCGCGAGGGCTTGTGGGGTTTGTAGTACCCAGACCGCTGGCAAAGCATGCTCTATAACCCAGGGAAACTACAACTCCCAAGAGGATGAAAGCAAACGCCTTGGCCCAATGGTCCCTCAGGGACTAGGTAACAAGTTTTGAGGGGGGTCCAAGAAAACGAAGTAGGGGACACACACTGAAAACTCCCTTCTTTGATTGACGTCAACTTTTCCGGAGGCAGGATCCCAAAAGAGACACTTTCAGAGAAGTTAAACACAAGTTGTGCTTTAGCTTTGAAAATATTTCTAAAAACAGTGATGCACAAACTTAGTTTTACTGACATTTAATAAATACTTATTTTTAATCATGTGAACGCAGCGCGTGTGGGTGGCCAAAGAAGCCAGAAGCGTCGGATCCCCACAACTGGAGTTACAGGTGGTTGTGAGCAACTTGACTTGGGTGCTGGGACTAGAACTCGTGTCCTCTGGAAGAGTAATACAGGCTCTTAAACACCTTAAAGTACTCTCTCGTTTATATGACAGGATTTTAAGTAGCTATTGCAGTGTGACAGTCTCTAGTCTAAGAAGTTGGCTCCTATCAACTCGTTTTATTCTTAAAGCATCCCTATAGAGATGTTACTAGTCTTGTTTGCAAACAGCAAAACAGGGGTGCAGAGAATTTAAGTACCTAGCTTCACACAGCTGCCAAGTAGGTGGGGCAGGATTCGCACTATGGACCCTTACTCTGTAGCTCTTGTGTTCTATGCTAAAGGATCTGAACAGGGGATCCTTTGGCTTCTATATAAAGTTCCTTGGAGAACCATAATGTGCAACCACTATTACCATTTGTTCCTAATACAGAGTAGGAAAGTCGGTATGGGAGCAATCTAAATGCCTCAGAGTAAGTATATCAGTGTTTACTGTTTGCTCCTCACTGAAGTGTTCTCTCTGGCAAGGGATAATGGAAATCATAGTTCTTACTACAGGGATGTTGTTGGCGGGAGTGGGGGGTAGCAAGCTCTGACAGTGCAGCATGCTTATGCCCTGTGGAAAACGTTTTGGAATCCAAGCCTGCTTCCAGTAAAATACTCCAAACAGCATTTTCATTTGAGAAGGAGACATAAAGGGAGAGAGGGAGAAACGGAGGTCTTTACTCCTTAGCTGAATACTCAATATGGGAGGATTCCACCATAAGAATTATTAGCTCCTTCCTGTTTTCAACAAATTTTCATATTAATTTCAGCATGAAATTTCTGTATCTCTTTGTGTTCTAATGTAAATAAGGTAGTTTTCACATGAAGAAGTCTTGCTAACTGGGTCATGGATATAAAAGGATTCAGTAAGTGAAGAAAAAGCAATTCCTTTCTCCTTTCTATCTTGCTTATAAGTTTGGGGCCACTGGTTCTCAGTGTCTGAGTCTGGGTTCCATTCAGAGTAGAAGGCAAGTCTTTCTACACAGTTTAGAGAATCTGTGAGTGACTCCTTCCTGTCTTCTGACAAAGGGGCTCAAAAATGAATCCAAATGACTCTTCAGACCCGCAACATTCTTCAATTACAAACAAAAATTAAGTTCCCATGAAAATTAAGTCACATAGCAAACTCTTAACCACCGGATGCAAGGCCTGTAGGTGTTGCCTGAATTGTGTTGGGGCCCTAGTGCAGACAAAGCAGGAGGCTCTCTCATGGTACTGTACTCTGTTCCCAAGTCTCAGTGGAAAGCAAACTTGCTGAGCCTTTCAAATGGTTCTAATGGCCAACAGAACTGACAGGCTTCAGTCAGAATTTCTAGTGAAGGAGTGAACTCTAACAGAAAAAAAACTGAAGGAGTGTAAACTGAGAAGTGTTTGTACAGCCTCCTGTACATTGGGGTTTTCTTCACCTCCCAAAAGTCACTGATTACAGAGCTCCTAGAGAGCAGGGACTGGGCTTGTTTCAATTAGTGTATCTAGGACCTGACACAGCAAAAGATATTCATAATCAGAATAGGAGCTCAATGTGTGCCAAGCAAGAGAGTGGTACCCTTTCCTAATAATCTGTTTGTGCTTACTGCATGATATTGAAACCTTAGTGCAGTGGTTCTCAACATTCCTCATGCTACAACCCTTTAATACAGTTCCTCATGTTGTGGTGACCCCAACCATAAAATTATTTCACTGATACTTTATAACTGTAATTTTACTACTGCTATTAATCGTGAAGTAAATATCTGATGTGCAGGATATCTGATATGCGACACATATCCCCACCCCCAAGTGGTTTGCAACCTACAGCTTGAGAATCATAGCCTTAGAGCATTCATTTGACTGCATGCAAAGTTAAACTACTGAAATGTAGAACTCTAAATTTCAGGGGGCAGAGAGACACAGAAAAAAAAATATCATGCCTGTGTTGAGGGTGTGCAAGGCTGAAAACTTGACTAGAACTTTGTGATTGCAGAGAGTTAGAACTGCAGACTCAGAGCCAAATATCTTGGGCTATTTTTAGCATTTCCTTAACAACCATTCATTGTCCACTCGTGTCTAACCTAACATCCTTTTGACTATCAGATAAAATGTATTTTTAGTAGCCTATTAGCTTTCACCCATCCAAAAGCTAAGAATGTCACCAGAGAATATCTAAATACATAGCTGAATTTTCCCTTTTTTGATATAACTTACCTACCTGTAGTCCTTCTAATGTATTTAGTGAATGCCTTAATTTATAACATTCTTTGTTCTTTAATGAATAAAATCTCTTATAACCACTTCCATGCTAGAATGTGTCCCTTGGGGCAACCTAAATACATGTTCTTAGGCCATAGTCACTCACATTTTGCTTAAGAAAACAATATGTCTTATTCCTTTTGAGATGAGTGCTGTGTTTGGGGTTGACAGGACCTAAGAAATAATTTTGAAAAAGAGACCCAAGGCCACTCAAATCTCAAGCTCATGAGGCATCAGCTCTAGGGTAGCTCTTCCAAAATGCCATGCTTCTTAGATTCTCTTTGGTGGCACCACAGGAATCAGTACAAAGCCCTCAGGGAAGACCAGCCTCCTGGACATGCTGGATACAGTAGAGGACCTTGAGACCAGGTGTAGCACAAATAATAAAAACCCAGAGGCAGATATTGGAGTTCAAGCTGAAGATCAGAAAAGCAAAGAGGCCAAGTTACTAGAGAGTTCTCACCTCCACCAAGGCTCAGACTAAAAGGGAGGTGATCCTGTCCTCAGAGTGACTGTAGACTACAATGTTCACCAAACCTCAAACTGCCCTCCAGACTGCATCTGACTCCACCAAACCTCAGACTGCCTTTTGCCTAAACTGCATCTCTCTTGTCCCCACCCCCTTAGTGCTGGGATTAAAGGAATGAGATCCCAAGTGCTAGGATCACCTTTGTGTGAGCTCTGTTTCTCCTTTAGACTGGATCAATTTTGTGTAGCTCAGGGTGGCCTTGAACTCACAGAGATCTGTCTGCCTCTGTCTCCTGAGTGCTAGGATTAAAAGTGTGTACCACCCCTGCCTGGTCTCTATGGCTAACTAGGGTGACTGTTGGATTAAAGGTGTGTGCCATCACTGCCTGGCCTGTATAGCTGACTAGTGTAGCTACCTTTGCACTCTGATCTTCAGGCAAGCTTTATTTGTTAGATCATAAACAAAATATCACCATAACCAGGTTACACCTGACATTCCAGTTATATGAATCAATGTATTTTCTCATTGTAATATCTGTTGTTACTTTTTAGGGCCCAGGATATGGTGAGATCCTGACAGTGGCTCTCAAAATGATTCCTTGCCAAGAGTTATCTTTTGAACAACCTGTGGCCCGGACACTTCGCCTTTTGTGAATATCACAACCTTCAAGGTATAACAGGAGCAGGAAGAGGCTTTACCCAGCATTGTGTCTCTCTAAACCAGATGTTCTCCAAGTATTTCTACACAAGTGTGCTAAATACTTGTGTGGCACAACACTATCCTCTGAGGAGAACAACCACCATCTTCCTAAGACCAGCTCTGCCTGCTTGTTGTCTGATGACATTCCCCCACAGAAGGATGGGAGGGTCATTTGGCTCTCACATGAGTGTCTAGCCACTCCTCCCTGTCATTCATATGCAGTTCTGCCACAAAAATGCTCATAGTCTCCCAGAGGAGATAGCATATAGGCGGGAGGAAGTTAATTGAGAGGGGCTTTACATGCACAGCCATTGTTCACTCTGGGTACAGATCTTCCAGTTCCTCTGTTTTAGGGTCACCCATGCTCCTGCTCATAACTCCTCAGCCATACTTTGTAAGTCATCCAGGGTGAACTTTTGAGGATTGGAACACTGACTTGTCATTAGGACCTTATGAGGAAGGGGTGAGGCAGGCATTGCTTACTCGCTCGCCCTAGGAGAAAATTCTCGAAACAACTTGCTTCTGTACAAAGTCCATAGGCTACTTAGAATGTTGTGTGTTCACATCTACGCTCAGCGCAAGAGAGACTAAAAATGTGATGAACACGAATTCAGCTTCCTGAGCTGCTGCTTGCTATCTGCATGGTTGTGAGCAAGTTACACAGCATTTCTGAGCAAGGAAGGGAAGACATACATGGTTGGTACCCTGTGGCCAAGTACCACTCATGTTACTGACATGCACTATTTCTAACCCCCACAAAGCCCTGGCTTGTGGGCTTTCCATCTCCCCTAAACAAATGAGGAAAGGCACTCAATGAGTAAGTCAACTTATCCAACGATGTGCAGCCAGAAAGTGGTTCTGTCAGCTTTAATAGCCTCCTAGTTTCATGAAATTATAAAGATAATGACACAATTACAAAAGAAATTCAAATAGTGATTATTAGAGTAGTTGCCACAATGTCTTTGAAGATGATTACCCTAAACTGGATTTATATATATGGCACATACATTGCTACTTTCCCTTGCCATCCAAATAGCAGACATTACTAATCGACCGAGGAGTGCTGCTATAAGAAAATGGGCTGATTGAGTTATGAGGAGCAAGAGCAGTGAGTGCTCTTAACTGCAGAGTCATCTCTCCAGCTCTGTTTTGTTTTTTAATCTCAGGAGCAAGGATGTATGATGTAGCTTTCCTCTCTCCT